GAACTAAATCCACCTTCTGTCAACTTTGTTACTTTTTTAAATTGCTCAAAAGGTATCCATTCTAAAATATAGTCTGGCAGGGATGATTTCATTTGACATTGTTGAATAAAGTTGTCAACTATGTTATTTCCAGATGTCCAAGTGGTAAAAAGGCTCTGTAATTGTAAACTAATACAACCTTCACAGAACCTATCAGAATATTTTGTCAGTTTACACTTGTTACATTCTTTTGGTTTGCCTAATTTATCTCTTGCATTACCTAATTCAACATGATAAATAAACCTTTCCTTACAATATTCTTTTTCATTTTCAGAAAGCTCCTTGTTTTTCTTGACTAATGAAAAAAAATAATCTTTTCTACTTTCTCTATCAGAATTATTAACATTAACATCATTAAGCATTTCATTATTAATTTTATATACAAATTCCTTCCTTTCTGATGATAACGATGATAACAAATTATCATATGACATTATATAAAATATAAAATATAAAAGTCAACTTGGTATTTTAATAAATGAGAAGAACTTTTTTTTTGTGGAGCGGTGAATTGAATTGAATGGCGTGTAACAATTTTTTCGTACAACATTTTAATAATATTAATTGATAAGGAAAAACGAAAATTGCATTATTTAAAGAACGATCATGATTCAACAATAAAAGAAATTCTTTAAAGATTGAAAAGTGATAAAATAGAAAACAAAATTAAACTTACGAAAATAAACCTGTCTTATGTGTTATGTAAAGGTCGCTCTAAGTACTAATATTGATCAACCTATGTTATTTCAAACTCAGACACCAAAGACAGCTCAAGCATACTATTAATATTATTGCGTATTACTATTATAACTAACTTCAAAGTTAAAATTTTGAAAAAATATTTACATTTTATGAAATGCAATAATGAAAGAATGGTTTTAATTTGTAAAAAAGAGGAAAAAATAAGTAGTTTAATGAAGTAAATTTCTAATTCAAATTATAACATTTATAAACTTCTCATGATAATTATTCTTTTTGCATCATTGCAATATACATAGGATGATATAATAATTCTTTATTCGTCTCGGGATACACATTTTTACATTTTTGATAATCCTATTTTATTATTGCTTGCTTGTATCAAGTGTTTTTACTTGCGTCAAGTATTTTTAATTACGTCAAGTAGTTTTACTTATGTCAAGGGCTTTTACTTTAGTCAAATCGTCAAAATGGCCCTGGTGAGAAACTACCTTTAGTCAATACTTTAGTTACATCAATAACTAAAGTCAAAAGTTTCGTCATACATTATTAATCCATCTATTAGAAAGTTCAGGAAAAATACATTCTGTAACATTTCCATACTAGTAGAGAGATTAAATTCTTTTATCTATTATATTTAAAAAATTTATGAAGAGGGACGTTTAAATTAGCCAATTTGATTTTAAATCTAAATGCCCGACCTATAAAATAAACAATTATTAAAAAATTTTCTTGGGAATAGTTTCGATCCAATTTCCAACTATCGGACAATTATTCTTTTTGCATCATTGCAATATACATAGGATGATATAATAATTCTTTATTCGTCTCGGGATACACATTTTTACATTTTTGATAATCCTATTTTATTATTGCTTGCTTGTATCAAGTGTTTTTACTTGCGTCAAGTATTTTTAATTACGTCAAGTAGTTTTACTTATGTCAAGGGCTTTTACTTTAGTCAAATCGTCAAAATGGCCCTGGTGAGAAACTACCTTTAGTCAATACTTTAGTTACATCAATAACTAAAGTCAAAAGTTTCGTCATACATTATTAATCCATCTATTAGAAAGTTCAGGAAAAATACATTCTGTAACATTTCCATACTAGTAGAGAGATTAAATTCTTTTATCTATTATATTTAAAAAATTTATGAAGAGGGACGTTTAAATTAGCCAATTTGATTTTAAATCTAAATGCCCGACCTATAAAATAAACAATTATTAAAAAATTTTCTTGGGAATAGTTTCGATCCAATTTCCAACTATCGGACATGAACATATTTCTTTAATATCTTGAATCATATTTTCTGAATTGTATTGTTTCGAAAGTTTACTTCAGTGAAATTGTCATCATCTACCCTGATACGTACAAACATTTTCGCTATTTACATTCTCGATAAAAACACAATATACAAGACAAAATGGAAGGCATTGATTTATTATAAAAGAAAATTTTGAGGTTTAACAAATGATAATCGGTTTTTTTTGTGGAAACCACGTGTCAATCTATATTAATATGTAGATTGGCGGCTTGAAATTCTAACTGAATTACATCAAGTCAAGTTACATGGTTCAACGTTTAAAATTTCAAACAAAATAAAAACTCTTAACTTCTTGGAATTTTTATGTTTTATATGTAAAAAGAATATAGTGGTTGTAAAGTTATAATGTAATAAAATTACAATTTTTGTTATTTATGAAAATACCAAGTAATTATTGACATAAATAATTAACAGAAAATAATGATTTAATGGAAGTACGTCAAGATTAAACAGTTATGGCTAAAAAACCTAATGCATGGTTCCAATTGATTATATATTAATGTAAAGAATGGAATTTGGTTACTCTGGTGTAAAACTAGACTATTTTATCATTATTAGCATTACTGATTTTTCTTTCTTCATCTTCTTTATCATCATCATCTCTTAATGATGTATGACGAAACTTTTGACTTTAGTTATTGATGTAACTAAAGTATCGACTAAAGGTAGTTTCTCACCAGGGCTATTTTGACGATTGATTAAAGTAAAAGCCCTTGACATAAGTAAAACCACTTGACGTAATTAAAAACGCTTGACATAAGTAAAAACGCTTAATACAAGCAAAATACTTGATACAAGCAGCGATAATGATCATGATAAAATAGGATTATAAAAATTCCAAATTACGTAAAAATGAGTGTCCCGGTCATGAATAAAGAATTATTATATATTGCAATTATACGAGAAGAATAATTATCATGTGAAGTTTTACAATGTTATAATTTGAATTAGAAATTTTACTTGATTGAACTATTTATTTTTTTTCATATATTTTCTTTCAAAATAAAAATGCCTCTTCTTTTTTACAAATTAAGACTATCCTTTTATTATTAAATTTCATAAAATGTAAAAAATCAAATTGTCTTTACGTACATACGAGTTGTGTCAATTGTTATTGACTTTGAAGTTAACTACAGAACTATACGTAATAGTAATACGGATGGCTTGAGCTTTCTTTGGTGTCTGAGTTTGAAGCAATACAGTCAATATTTGTACATAGCACATAAGACACATTTTTGTGCATATTTTTGTAAGTTTAATTTTGTTTTCTAATCATTTTTGAATATTTAAATGAATCACGATAAATCGATCACTAGAATTTGGTGACGAAGAAGTTTAAATAATGCAAAAATTTCAATTTAAATCCTTATCAATTAATCTAAAGGCAAAAGTTGTTACACATCACTCAATTCTCCACATTCATTAATTTTATATTTTATATGCTAAATTATTATCATCATTATCAACAGAAAGAAGGGATTTGCATTTAAAATTTGTAATGAAATGCAAAATAATGCTAATGTTAATAAATCTGATAGAGAAAATATAAAAGATTATTTTCTTTCATTAGTTAAAAAAACAAGGAGCTTTCTGAAAATGAAAAAGAATATTGTAAGAAAAGGTTTATTTATAACTTTGAATTACAGAATGCAAGAGATAAATTGAGACAACCGAAAGAATGTAACAAGTGTAAATTGACAAAATACTCTGATAGGTTCTGTGAAGGTTGTACTAGTTTACAATTACAGAGTCTTTTCACCACTTGGACATCTGGAAATAACACAGTTGACAACTTTATTCAACAATGTCAAATGAAATCATCTCTGCCAACCCACATTTTAGAATGGATACCTTTTGAGCAATTTAAAAAAGTAACAAAATTGACAGAAGGTGGATTTAGTTCAATTTATGCCGCGGAATGGTCAAGAGGAGATATCACTGATTATGATGAAAATAAAAAGGAATTTAATTATTTTGGAAGGCAAGGAATAGTATTAAAAAGTTTAAATGATTCAAATAATCCAGGAAAAGCATTTTTTGATGAGGTTAGTAGTTTTTATTTAAATAACACTGTATTATATAATACTAATTGATTTTACATTCAATTTCAGGCAATGAATTATTTTAAAATTAAAGCACCACTGATTGTTCAGTGTTACGGTATAACTAAATTCCCAGATAATGGAAATTATGGAATAGTTTTAAATTATTATCCAGAGGGAAATTTAAGGAGTTATTTACAAAAAAATCACTTAAATTTAACATTAAAAGACAGAATTACAATCTTGGTGATTTATGTTATGCATTAAATGATATACATCAGAAAGATTTAATCCATTGTGATTTACATAGTGGCAATATATTATTGCAGGGTGGCAATTGTTATATTACATATTTAGAATTATGTGAACCAGTTGATGAAAAATCATCAGATAAAGTCTATGGAATTGTATCATACATCGCACCCGAGCTACTTAGAGGCAAAAGGAACACGTGTTGGGATGTTAATGTGGGAATATTTGCAAGTTATCCACCATTTGATGATAGAGCTCATAATCATTGTTTAATTTTTGATATATGTGCAGAAGGTTTACGACCACCAATATTGCCTGGAAGGCCTGATGATTATGCACGAATGGTGCAGAGGTGGATCCATCCAAAAGACCAACTAGTGGAGAGCTTTATTATTTTGCTCATAATAAACGTAATGAAGTTTTTAAAAATAATAATGATAATAGTAATAATACTACTGGTAGTGATGGTAGTAATGATTCGCAACAAGCACACAAATCACATCCAGATGCATATCATACAAGTAGAATATTAGATGAAGAGATTGCTAAATTTAAAAGCTTTAAAATTTATACAAGTAATGATAGTTTATTAAATAATCTTGTTTTTAACTCTTTTCTATAGAATGTCATTATCAATTAATTGGAAATTACTATACATTGGTTATTACTAACAATATTAATTAATTAATTAATTAATTAATAAACATTAAATTTTTATTTATCTTTTTATTTTATTTCTATTTTATTTCTTAAAGCTAAATTGTAATAATGGTTTGAAATAATAAACCTTTTGATTCTTGTTAAATGGTGATATTATTTCGGTTGGTTAACAATTATGGCTTAACTTTTGGCTACTCTTGTCAGTTGGTTGCAAATAATTTGGTGTTTGTCAATTAATTAGTTTACGAATTTCCTTTGGTTCTCTCTTTCTTGCACCCGGATGGATTGCAAGCACACTCAACGGTATACTGTTGTATGTGAAATTGAAATTGAAATCTATAATAATAATTTTTGGGGTGTTTAGATATGAAATTTGAATTTCACAAATTTCATTTTCACGCACAACAGTACCAGATAACTCTAAATAAATATAGATGGTCTTTTACAATGCTCAAAGGCTTTTATAAGGTTCCTTTTATTCACTTATGATCGATTTATTCGTTTACATTTATTGGCTGATTACAAACTCTCTTTGGTTTACTTGCAAAACAATTTAAATAGCTTGTTTAACAGCCTTACGTTACGATTACAATAACACTATCAGTATTTCCGAATTGATATTTGGACGATACTTCATTAATACCCACTGTTAGTCCTAACCTTTCTTACTCACAAAAGCAAATTACGTTACTAATCGTTGTTTAACACTCACTAGTTAACCAACGTTAATCCTAACCTTGTCTGCTTACTCACCAAAGCAATTAAAACATGACTTGTTACCAAAGCTTCAAAACTGTTACCTTTACCAAGGAACTACACTCGTTGCTTTTATCAAAGCGCTTTAAACAAAGAAAATAAAAACAGTGTTTTATTTTTTATTTTATTTTTAAAATTTTATTAACGTTTAATAAAAATAATGATTCTATTGCAGAGTTTATTTATTTTTTTCTACGAGGACCAGAAGTTATTCTTAATGAAGTTTTCGTTGATCAATACAATAAGGATAAAGATAAAGATGTGCTTATTATTGCAAAGCAACTTAATCAATCAATATTGATATTATAAAAGCTTTTGCGTAAAATTTTCATTTGGTAATAATTATGTGTATAAATTAAAAGTGACTGAATTCTTAATATTAATCAATGATTTTATCTATTATAATTATGTATCACATTATTAATATTAATATAAGAAATATTCGAGTTTAGTAGTAAATGGGTGTGTGGGAACTGAATTGTATTCAGCAAAAATAAAACTTAGTTTCTTGTGAACAACTGATGAGACAAAGGAGAGATTGGGATACACAAGAAAAATATAAAAAAAAAAGACCTTGGAATATACGTCATTTTTGACTTAATGGATGCAAATTTGACGTGATAGTTTTACAACTTTGGTAACATTTCGTCAAACTCTCTTATCAACTCATTCTGTGTTGCTTCATTTTTATTGGTAAAAGTTGTTGCAACGGAGACAGCAATTCCATTATTCTCTCTACATAGCACACAAATTTAATAGTCATTTCACTAAAATGAAAATTCTGGATTCAATCTACTCTTTTATCAAATAATTGCTACATATATTCATTGCTCTATTTTATTGATTATTTCATCAATTTTTTGATTAATGTTATAGAATTGGTTTTTTATAGGTTTTATAATAAAGTAAGAAGCCTAATTAACAACTTGTGAAAAAATTCACTGTTGGAAGTGAGGATTTTTATTAAATTTATTTATTGATAAAAAATATAGAAAATATTTTATTAATTGATTTTTTAAAATTGTAATGATTAATTGAAGGGATTTGTAGTACGAACATGTAACTAAGTTTCTCAATCCCAAACTGTTCTTCACAAGCTATATTTACGTTAATCGTCAGCCGCTAACCGCCATCTCCTTATTCTTTAAGATAAACCACAAATAAAAACAAAACAAAAAAATAAACTTGTATATACAAGAAATATTTACAAATATACTGCCTGAGACAAATCAACAAAGTAAATTTAAAAAGGACCCTAAATAATAATTAAAGCTTGACTAGACTATTAATTATCATTAAAAAACCATTCACGATTGCCTTGCCCTTTAACATGCAACAATTCGTAAATAATTTTAAAATGTGTTTATTTCAATCTTATTAGTTATACTCTCTAAAGTCATATTTTTGAATTCAAGATAATTCTTGATGTTTTACGAGATTATAATTTGATGACTACCTATTGATATTTACTTGGTCATGAGAAAAAAAGCCAAGTAATAAATAAAGAAATATCATACTAATAATAATAATAACAAGAAATTTTTAATTTTAACTCGTGCAACGAATATTAAATGGTATCGATCTGATTTTTTTAGTGACGTTTTTGGACGCTTTAATGATGTTCAAACACAAGGTGAGATCATGTGTGCTTATTTACCTTGTTTTGACGCCAATCTAATAAAAACAAAGATTTATTTAATCATATAAAGTACATATTGAATCTGTTTTTTATTATCAGGTCAAGAGATTATAATGCAACATGACAACCATTAATTAACTGCATTTCATAGAGAAAACAAAGATAAAAGCCATTATTATTATAATGTTGTTGAATTACATTGATGACTAAATGTTGAACCCTGAAATTGCTGATAGTATAAATGTCGGTATTTGATTTTGCTGTAGTGTGCTTCACACATAATTAATCGCCGTTTATATACAAAGTTCTATTTCTGGAAGGGTCTATTATGCTAACAAATTTGGTAAATTGCACACAAATAATTGATCATTTATGGAAATATGGAAAATGTTGATTTACATCTTTAACACGAAAATCTTTTTCGTGTGATGTTTTTCAAATGATAAAGCTTTATTTGGGATGTAAACAATTCATTCATAATCCACTAAATTTTAATGATTTTCGCAACCTAAACTTTAATTTTTGCGGATTAGGATTATCAAAAATGGGGTAAATAGATTGGCTAAATTCATGCAAATAGTGTCACAAAAAGATGAAAAATAAACCGGGACCTGGACACAAACACAACGGTAGTTACAAATATGTCGAACGCGCGAAATGTTTTTTGATGCAATGTTTTCATTGATTTGGGACATAATATAAGAAAAAAGTTACATTCAACATTCCTATAAATTAAGTTCGATTAATTCTTCTGAATAATTCATTCGTAGATTGTTTATTATCCATTATACACTGAAAATTTAAATGATGTTTTTCGCGAGCAAAATTATTCGATCTAAATTTCCTAGAAGACTTTTTATCTTCTATCTTCTCTTTAGTCTTATCCCTATAGCAACAGAAGGAGTAGAAGGACAAACAATAAAGGACAAGATATCAGTCTTTCCGGAATACAGCCCAGAAAATGGTTTAAAATGTGATGCTGTCGACTTCCACGAACATAAAATATTCGGCACCTTTGGTTGTCAACTAGGGAAGTTTATCCCTATTGCGTTCCTTCTTTTTACTGTAGCAGTTTATGGTACAAAATCAGTGTTTGGCTATATGAAGACCTGCCTTATTGATGATGTTACTATTCTCACGTCTTCTTTGGTGCCCATTTTTTCGTGGTACATTTTCGGTAAACCACTTTGGTATAAGGTACTTGGGAATTTTACGGAAGAATATCATGAAATACATGTTGCCGTTAATGACTATACCCGAAAGAATAATACGACTAGAGATGATTCTAAAGTTAGTGGATTTAATTTCAAAATTGATGAAATTAACAAGCACTACAAGTTTAGGGTGGTTGAAATTACAATAGTTTTGTTAACAAGTTTTTCGGTAGTTGTGTGTTTGATGTTGTATATTGGGTCTGCTTTTTACAAACGTCGGAGTAAACCTAATGATAAATTTTTCGGTAAAGAGGGAAGACTTTCGAAGATAATGATGACCAACAAAGATTTCTTTGATGGTTTAAAAACTTTCATTATTTGGATTTATTTATTTCATTCTGTTGAAGTCACGGTTTATACTTGTGTGGAAATTAATTACTTTTTAAAGCAATATGATGATGAACTTAGAGACTTTGGTTCAACAAATGAAGTTCAACAAGATCGAAAGGCAACTTTTTTATTTAATCTAGTATTTTTACATTTCTTCATAAATCTTTTGTATCTATTCACGGCTAGCTTTGTAGTTTATAAATATTATTTTCCAGGACGAAGTTACGAACGTTTTGTTCATAAAAAGATTTTCTTTTTCCTGATTCCCCTTTCTTTGATCGAATTATTTTTTGAATATTATAATTTTTGCACTCCTCCCATTGTTAGCACAGTTTTCAATTCTGTTATTGGCACCATTTTAACCCGTTCAATTGCGTCATTTTTTTCTGGTCAGGGAATAATTAAAGTTAGTAATATTGATAAACATAACTATAATTATGATAATAATAATTGTTATCAACATGCAGTTTTTGCAAAAATGAGTGTTAAAAACATTCAAGATCTTGACCATTTTTATAAGAGCGATTACGGCGATGACACTATAAAGTCGAGAAATATGAAAAATTTGAAAAGGTATAAAGTCAATTCTGTAGACGGATATGTTTATGTTAGGGAGGACCCTAAAGAAACCGAGGAACATGAAGAAACCGAAGAAGGTGTAGCTGAACATCCTAAAGTTGACTATTTTTATGTTATTATTGACGATGAGTCTGTATATTTACATAAACTCGAAATTACGAAAGATGACAATATCGATGGTTGGAATTGGAAATTATTTTTTTGTTTTTGGAAAGACAAGAAGGAGGAACGGATTAAAAAACAAATCAAGGAAGGAATAAAAAGTTTTATAAATGGTGACAAGCAACCTGAAAAGTGCATGAATCATTATTATCATTATTGTGAAGAAGTCAAACAAAAGGAAAATGAGATCATTGTAGAGTTCCTGAAAATCGAAAAATCGAAAAAGATTATAATGAAGTAAATAATGGAATGACGAAGCCTGAAGAAATAATGGCTTTTGACGATGAAAAGTCTGAAAAAGCGGTAAATTCTGGTGAAAACATAATTGAAAAAACAAAAACTTGGAAAATCGAAGGTTACGTACTAGTTAACGTGCTTCAAACAGGATTTCTTAATTATCTTGTTTACTCTCATCGTACTTCTAAACTTAATAATATTAACCCTATCGGAGATAAGCTAGCTTAAAATGTTAAAATCAATCTATTATTATTATTATTTTTAGTTTCTAGATAATAAGTTTTTTGTTTTATTAATATCATGCAAAGAAAAAAATTTAATAATAATAATAGTAGTCGCGTAAATTTTCTTTCTGATTGTAGATCATTTACCATATATATATATTTTAAAAAAGAAAAAATTAATTAAACTTTTTATAAATTATTATACATATTTAATATATTTACACTCATTTAAAATAATAAGTTTCAGATAATTGATGATTTAAAATAATAACTCTAATTATATTATTTATTCAATCTTATGTTTACTTATTATAAATAAATGTTATATTATCTTTCAATAAACTATTATATATTTTTTAAACATAATACTAAAAATCAAATATGATAATAATAAACCATAAATTACTAAGTTATAATGCTTCAAAAAATTTTGCCGACCACCAGCAGATTTCTTGTCATAACGGATTTTTTTGGCTGGAACCATAAATCTGATGTGGCGAGATTTGACTGTTATTTGTATAGAATTTTATTGCGAATTTAATTATTGATCAGAGTAAATTGAAACCACTGCCTTTTAATAAGAATTTGATTCGTGTGCGTGAAATTCAAATTAGCCCAATTTCAGATGTATGAAAGTTTATTTTTAATTCTTTTATTCCTCGGGGATTACTATTACTGTATGTACTACTTACTAATAGCAGTCATGTGACATGTCACATCAATTGATTTTTTATAATTACCCTAAGACCAGAATGTTTATTAGGAGTTGACAAATAAAAAACAATTACATTCCAAATAGTGTTGTGTTGTGAACAATTATTTGTTTGAGTGAAGGAATAACTCCCGAAATTGTTAGAAATATTTATACATTAAATCTCATATTCCTCTTTCAATTAGAATTGCATATTCCCGAATTATTGGAATTACATTATAATAATAATGATGATAATAGTGGTGCAGTGTAACATTCCGCAAAGTGAAATGGAATATATAAATTGTATTTAATATGCATCTTTATCATAAACAAATAAAGAAAGAGTCTATATATTAATAGTAATATTATTATTGTGTGTTTAAATTATCAAGTTCATTTTTTGCCCATCATATTTTAATTTTGGGATGAGTGTTTCACATTTATAAAATTGATAATGTGTTGTATTTATAATTACTCAAGGGTTTTTTTGCCTAAAAATTTAATATGAACTTTTTCTATTGTAAATTTTTTGATTTTTCATCAATTAATGTTCTAACCCTTCTATACTAATATATCAATAAATATCATTAAGAAAAATAGTTACAAAAATAATATTAATAGTCACCTCAGTATTCCCTGATTCAACTTTTGGAACCAGATAATGTTCCAAACCTTTAACACCATCATTTTCTTCATCTATTATTTCAGGTGAAAGCAGATCTCTTTCAAATAGAAATTCAATGTCATCTTTTAAGTATTTTTTAATAAATAAAAAAAAAATTATAATTAAGGATGTTGTTTAATGCTTCTATTAATTTTTATAATTTGAATATCTATAATACTTTCAAATTTTGACTTAAATTGATAAAATTCCTAATAAAAATGACTTTAGTAGGTGATATTAACATCTATTAAATTTTAAATTTTGAATTTATATAACAAATTAAAGCAGGAATCCAGCTTGGCATCATATAGAAGTAAAGATAGTTTATAAGGAAGTTTTTAAAAAAATTTGACAAATTAAAACCTTGAGATTTTGTACATGTATTACAAGTATATTGTTGTTTCTAATATATGTAAAGGAAGGTTATCTATTACTATGGACTAAAGTTTGGGCTTTGGAAAAAATCAACTAATGATTTGCAAAATTCTGCACCAAAATTGACTCTATATACTTGTTTCACACGAATTAATAATGATAATTTCATGCACCACGTCGATCATCCAATGGAATTTATGCCCCACGTTATGAAAATGATAATAATTATTAATATTATTATATATACAAATAGTCGCGTTTTTAATTTTTATGAGATGGTTATTTGGGAAAACGTTCTTAAAAAATAGAGATTAGCAAAGTACTAAAATTATTAACAACAATATTGAAGATTGGATATCACAAAATTCTGTTGATTTAGGCTTATTGATTATTTTTTAATAAACTTTTTTCAGAGGCTGGAACTGGATTAATTGGGCAACTCATTAAAAGATATTCTTTTACAAACAAGATTTCAGAATATTTACTAACTGTTTTTTTAATAACCTTTTTTTTCAGAACTTTATTGAGACTGGAACTGGAAGAAGGTAAATAAATTATGTTCACCTCCATAAGATTCTTTTATTATAATAATAATAATAATAAACAAATTATTAATATTAAATAATTTATAAATAAATTATAGATTGATTATCAGGACATTGAAAGTTGATTAAAGACTCAAAACATTCAAAATAATTCCTTGTGTACAAAGGCTAATTTGAAGCTGGTGTCCCTATGATATAATGATGCAATTAAACTTCAGGAAGGGGCAGCAGGGTTCTGAGGTTTATTGAAATTGTGTTGTTGGCAAAGAGTTGTTAAAGCCTCCCACTTGTCTTAAAGCCTATCTGATGTATGAATGGCGTCACCTATAGAAAAATTCTATAGTTATGAGGAGTGCAAACTTACAATTTGCATGATAGTACATTAGTAAAAGGAAAATTTTATTAAATCTGACACCAATGATTAATATCAGATTTATTATTTTAAAAAGCACTGGAATTTGTAATATATAAATTAGGAAGCATATCTACATACATGTGCACACACACAAAAAAATGGAGACCATAGACAACCACATGGACTTTTTTCAAAATTGATTCCTTAAAGATTTTATTTTCTGCATGATCTTAGTATTATTGTTATTTGGGTGATGCAATTTATTTGGTAATTAATCTTTAATAAATTTATGAACAACAATATCAAATATATTGTATAATCATTGTAAGAACATGATTAAATACATAGAGACAAAAGATATGTTGTGTAAAAGAGGAGGTCCTGGCACAGATGACAATTTACTGGATTTTGTATACTATTTTTTTACATCATTTATATCCACAAGGCCATGTAGGCATCAATTTCATATTAATTTTGATATCATTAGGTATAACACATTGCTATGTGGTGTGGTTCATGTTTCAGGCCACATAGAACTGAAATAAAATTCAATTCACAAATAGACAGAGAACAAAGCAAAAACAGTCTGCATAGCAAAGAGAGCAATTGTTATCAAAACCAGAAAAATGTAAAAAATTAATAAAATTTTCAAATTAAAGATATCTGAAATCTATAAAAATGTTCACATATATTACTAAACTTTTAGTTATGCACTTAAATCTCTTAACAATAGTAGGGACCTGTTTGAAGTTGTTGCTCTAGTAGATATCAGAGAAGAAATCAAGTACATAATAACACCCAGAGTTAACTACCCCAAAAAAACCAAGAGCTAAGGCCATTTCATCTGTGAAATATGCTAAAAATAAGGGGAAAAGGTAGCAGACTGAAGAAGGCATATCATCCCAAAATACAATGAATTAAAGTGCTGTAATTATAACCCTGAGAGTAAGTATTATACCACTGCTAAGATTAAAAATTTTATAAAAGAAATAGAAGAAATCAAAGCCAAAAGTATCCAAGGTAACCAAACCAAGCAATGGGCCAGGGAGAGCAAAGCTGAGATATATAAAAGGCATGAAAGTGGTAAATATCCTGCTGACCCAAAATGAGATTTACAAAAACCAATCATAACAATTATGTTGAGCCAGAGAATATGAGAAAGGAAGGAGGTCAGGTATGTATAATGATACAGAAATATGGAAACATATAGATATGCAAGATCCAAAAGATTTTGATAATCTTGGCATTGAACTTGAGAGCCTTGGAATTTAAATCAAGTTTCGAATTCATTCTCAGATAGTATTTTAACCAATTCATCTAGTGATATTTCAATATCAAAAGTCTTTTAAGATTCCATCTTGGGATGTGGTGCACTGACAATAGAAAGAACTCTTTCAATATTCTTTTGTGTCAATCCAAAGATAAATTAATCCCCCTTATATTGAAATGATTTATTAATCTCTTATAGTAAGTATATAGATTCATCATCTTTTTGTTTACAAATATTGAACTCATGTATAGCTCTATTATGACAATCTTCACAGAAAAGCATATTTTTTAATGTTAAATTTTTTAAGTCTTACTAGGTCAAATAATAATCTGAGTTGGATTTTAATATGTTGAAAGCCTTCTAATAGAATCAATGGGATCAGCTCTAAAGACAATTTCACATGGAAGTGTATACAAATTACTAACAAGAATAGAATTAAGCTTAGAAATATCAAGACTGAAATGAGAAAGTAATATTACATGATACTTAATTGGTGATCCTTCTATGAATGAGTGAATGCTATATAATGGTTGGTGGGGAAAATGTCTAATTTGCCACCTTTGTTATATACTTTTGTTCCACTACATTGTTATTTTTTTTATGTGTATAGATAGAATAAAATACAAAGAATATATATAATTTTTTTCATTTTTACTAACAAAGAAAAGTTTACTATGGAGGAGCCATGGATTCAAAGGTTTCTTTAATATAAAAAAAATTTATTTTTCTTGTGCAACATATATAGTTCTATAATAATAATAACAAAAGACCATTTGGCTTAATTAGTTCTTGTTATCAGGCAGGTATCAGGTAGGTCTGACATATTACTGGCAGAAATAATTTTTTTTTCTTTAATTCAAATATATTCTTATTATTAAACAATAAACTGATTGTATCACATGATTATAATATAAAGTTGACAATAATTAAAATAGTAGGAGTAGAAGGTCAATAACCATGCTTTCACATGCCCCATAACTGTGAAATTTTCTCCACAGGTTGCGCCACACACATGTTAGAAGGCTTTGGACAAAACTTTTGCATATTTTCCCCTCAGACCTGGCTAGCAGTGTTCGAAATTCGATCTGCAAGAATTTTTTT